GCCAAATCACATGTAGATTTGAAGTTACTCAGGATGAAACAAAACCTGAGTTTTGTGTAAAAGCTGATAAAGATTATTGAATACAATGATGAAATATGGATGCAAAATATAAACAAGAAAAGGAAATTTTACAAACTCCTCATGTGCGGCTGTACTGGTTCCCCAAATAGGCTCTGGGATGCTCCAAAGGTGCCTGCCCCAAAGTGAGAAAGAAAGACAGCGCCTCTCACTGCGGATTTTATGGCCTTCCTCCCTCCCACTATTGCAGAGTTTGTCAGGGTACACAAAAGCTCTGCATCTCCCTTCCTGGGAGCAAGGCTCCCCTGCAGGCTTCAGTTAGGCAAACAGTTTTGTTGTCACAGCAAAATCAGCCCCATTTGCAGAATGATCAGGGAAGGCAGCTCCAGTCTCTGGAGCTCTTCCTAACAAGCTGAAAGCCGCAAGACTTCGGCATGGTTCCAAGCGCTAACTTGGCTTTTAGAGAGTGGGAAGTTCATGGTACCACCTGTTGAACTCCCCCTCCCCCGATTTATATCCTGCCTTTTTCCTACAAAGGGCTCAAGGCAGCTTACATCATTCTCCTCCTCCATCTTATCCCCACAACAACAACCCTGTAAGGTAGGTTGGGCTGAGAGTCTGTGACTGGCCCAAAGCTACCCAGTTGGCCCCATGGCTGAGCGGGGACTCGAACCCAGATCGTTTGAGTCCCAGTCCCATGCTCTTAACCACTGCACCACACTGGCTCACCTTAATAACATCCTTAATAAGATCCACTATTCTTCTGGTCAAGCCCATTCTAAAAACTGTCCCTTGGAACCAGGAGGGTAGCCACCATCAAAGGAAAACTATTCAGCCAAAAACCGCAGAGAACAATCATAAAAAGAAAGTATGTCAAATGAGTTTGGGAAAAATGCATATCCTCATTTTGGCATTTATTTTCCATTCTTTCTAGTACCCCTCCCCCTTCTTATCTCTTCTTCTTCAAGGGCTCATTCACACATAGGTAGATACCCCTTTTCTGTAATATTTATATATACAGATATGAACAGGCATATCAGTTTTGCCACCTGGGCATGGAAGCATTACATGTAGAAATTAACATGCATGTAAATTGCTGCATGTGATAAACATAGATGGCTTGTCACTCTGTGTTGCATTGGCCCATGGGTGGCATTGTCAAATATAAAGGCCACTGTACTTAACAGATGCAGACTACATGTTAATTTCCTAAATGAACAGATATGCATGCAAAAATTGTAAGTAGCCCTTGGTGCCACCAGAAATATGAGTTATTTGGAAAGGTCAATCCCCACCAAAGGTGCTTTTATGTGGGAGGACTCCTGGCTCTGATCAGAAGGAATTGTGCAGCTATCCAAACTTTGCCTCCTGGATGCTTTTTATTTTATTCTTTTAGTGGGCTGAGAAACCCACAAAAGGAAGACAACAACATTTGGATTGTTATGTGACTGCGGCCAGGCGGCTGCACAAGAAAAGCTTTGCCCTGGAGCACTTGCAGCCATGGAGTTCCTTGGGTAAATGAAGCCACCCAGTTTTCCTGCTCAGCTTCAACGACCTCACAGGGTTGTTGTGAGATTGCAATAGGCTAACTTGTACCCCACCCTTGATCCCTCCGGGGAAGAGTGAGGTATACCCATAGAAAATAAGTCTAGAGGGGAACCTCTGGAAGAACTTTCACCCGAAACAGAAAAGAATCATCCTTCGCTATTGTCTGTCAGCCCAGCATCCTCCAAAGACGGAGAAGTAGTAATGGCATTTCCTACCCATCCCCGTGTTTACCTAGAGCAGCTGGCTCAGGGGTTAATCGATGCAAAGTTCTGGGGCTACCTCAGGGTGGAGGTGGGTGGGCTGGGTCCAGGGAAGAATCGCTGGTGCACAGTCTTCACTCTGGTCGGGCAGAGGAGGCGGTGGAGATCAACCAGATTTGCCCTCCCCTGCCTGGCCCCGATCCAGGTGCAGAAGTTGGAGCGATTGTGCCGCCGCCGCACCGGGTGGCAGGTCGGGGATCACAAAGGGGCTTTTCTTGCCAGCAAGTCCAAATCAGGGAGCCCCACGATTTCCGATCTGCCTGCGCTGGCGATGCTCCTTCCTGCCTGGCCCCCTCCCCGCCAATACATCCAGGCTTTCATCACTCCCGGCTGTTCCAGCCCCTTCCTGTGCCGGCAGCAAAGCAAACCCCGTAATAGAGGTGGCTGCGGCAGCTCCGAGCGGGCCGGGCGTGCGTGCGTGCGTGCGGGTCGACGAGCGAGCAAGGCCCCCAGCGGCGCCTCTAGCAAGCGATGAGGACGGAGAATGCGTGGCCTTCGTTCGTGTACATCTGCATGCAAGAAGCCAAGGCAGGGCTGCTAACCGCCGGCCCCAAGCAAAGGAGCGCAGCAGTCCCACTCTTGGCCAGAAGTGGGGTTTCGGGCTGCCCACTAGGGCTGGAGCCCCGCATCTCTGGGCAGCCTCCTGCCCCCCCTCATTTCAGGAGTTGCTGAACTAAACGTGCAGGGCCCCCCGATCCCCGCTGCATCCGAACCCCCTGGATTAGCTGCCTTTCTGCTCACATGTGCTTCACCTCCTTGCTGCCTCCCCAGTGAATCTGATACTGCCTGCTTTTTTTCATGAACACAAACGCCTTCTGTCTTACAATGGTAGATTCGGGAAAGGGTCAGTAAAGCCATCTGGTCACAGGATTCCACATTAAAGCATCTTCCTGCCAGGATCTGGGCTGTTCTGGGGCGCCTTTGGTGGCCAGGACCAGCACAGCCACCTCAGGATTTGCAGGATTGGTCCGAGGCCCTGCTGGAGCACTCAGCCTCCCGAGGACCATCTGGGGGGAGGGGGGGCTACATGAGAGCAGACCAAACTGGGCTCAGCAACACAGCCGGCCGTTTGTTGTAGTGCCTGCCTCGTGTCTGGCCATGATCTGGCCTTGCAGGCTCAGCTTAGCAATGCAGGACTCCTGGTTCTCAGTGCTTGGCTTGTCCATGCCTTGCCCTGCTCTGTACTTCTGGCTCCTGACTCCGGCCTGCTCTGCGACTACAGCTTGAACTTGCTACTGAACCTGGACTTGCTCTTGAACTTTGCCTCCTGTTGGGTTGCCCTGGTGCCTCTGTTCTGTCTCCTGCCATCCACATCCCACCTCCTGGTACTCCCCTTTTTACAAGTAGGAATGCCCTTAGGAGGCAAGGCTCCTTTAAAGGAGATTTCCATGCATATATAAATTAGCATGCGCCAATTACCTGTGTGTGCTCTGCCCCAGATCCTTGTGATACCTTGCACTGCCCCTGCTCCTAGCCCTCTAGCAGAAGTCTGCTAGGCTTTCAACAGACTTCTGGGAAGGAAAAGCTCCTGGAATGGAGCTAGCTGGAGGAAGGACTGGGGTGAGGTAGGCAGCACAGTATGCAAACCTCAGGCACATTCGTTTATAATGTGGAAATGGCCACTTTCGGTCTCTTCCGAGCTGGCTGCCATACACAGGTGGCTGCCAGTTTCATCTGGAATTTTGCTCAAAAAAAGAACACTAACTGGGCTGCAGGGATTAAAGAATGAGCTTGTAGAAGAGTTGGGAGGGCAAAAGGCCATCAGGTCCATCCCCAGCACAGTACGGGCACCAGTAAAAGCATCCCTGACAGATGGCTGTCCAACTGCCTCTTGAATGGCTCCAGTGAGGGAGAATCCAGCAATCTCTGAGATCAGGTCTGTAGCCAACTCTGGATCCACCTGATGGTTGTTCCATCTATCCCACTTTTAGCTAGTTTTGTAGGGGAAGGAAAGAGAAAGGGCTTAGCTGAGAGCTGGCCCTGACATTAAGCAGATTGAGATGATTTGGCAGTCATGCAAGTACAACAAGCAGTTAAGGAGCAGTCCTGGCTGGGACATGCTAGAAGTTGGAGGCTTTTTCTCCTATCTAAACAGTGTTTAAAATTGAGCTACAGTCATACAAGCACTTATCTGGGAGTAAGCCCCACTGAACGCAGTAGGGCTTATTTCTGAATGGGTATGTATGGGATCATTCGGATTATTATTTACTTCCAGGGAGGGGAAGAGGTCCTTTTGATTCTGGTTGCCAAAACCACCTGGCTCGCTTTGGGTAGCTACACACCTAGATTTGGGGTTGAGTGGGTGTTGCTGCTTCACTTAGGCAGCAAAATATCTTGGGCTAGTTCTTGCCTGGGCATAACATTGAATTTGCAACAGTTTTGAGATGAAGCACAGAAGCTACACAAATATGAAAAAAATGCAAACTGCACCTAAGTTCAAATAAGTAATCCTAGTTAGGGTTGTATCTCATTTTGGTCTTAAGAGTAGACCCATTGGAATGAATGGTACTTACAACAGACTTCATTTCTCCACTCCCCACCCCTTTTCTTTTAATCTAAATGTATTATTTAAAATGAGTTTTAGGCTGCCTTTAGGGGCATGCAACACCTCCTCTCCACCTTTCTGCCGGTGACAGAAGATGTTTTCCTCGAAGGCTGTATTTGTTATTCTCTAAACGCGGCTGGGGGCAGCAACCCGGAAATCATTGTTGAGCGGTCTGTAGTGGGTTAGAGAACTAAGAACTCCTGCGGGATTCCTTTCCCCTCTGGAAACGATGCAAAAGCTACCTTGGAAACTCTGGACCATAGAACTGCGCTTAAAGACAAACTTGGGTTGTGTACGGACACTCCGGTGGACCCACGTCTGGCGGCCACTGGCAAAAGCGAGATCGCACAACCGTTTGCTTCCCAAATGGGATTTTAAGCTCCGCGGATAGCACCCCGCGTTAGCATCGCCCTAAGTCCGCTCCCTTTCAACGGGCCTGCTCCCCCAGGGCCGGCCCCCGTCGTCCCGCTCCACGCTCGGCCCGCGCCCGCCAGAGGGCTCCTCTCCGTGTTCGAGGAAGGGAAGCTGCTCCCTTCTCTGCCGCCGCCGCCGCCCGGCAGCCTCGGCCAGAGAGGCGGAGTTTCGCGAGTCGGCCGCCGCTGCACATCCGGATTAATCTTAAGTGGCGGCTGCTGTTGCTGCTGCTCCCCGCAAAAGAGACGCCCCCCCCCCCGAGCTGCAAACTTGCTGGAGGCGCACCGCGGGCTGATTGTAGGTGATCAAAGGCGAGTCGGTGGAGAAAAGGGAGGGGCCGCCGTGGCCGGGCCTGGAGGGCTTTTTGCACAAATTGGCCCTGATGGCGCCCCCCCCATCCACCCGGGACTTTTTTTGTTGTTGTTGCGTAGGGGCGGGGAGGTAGGGAGCTGCTGATGGAAATAAACTTGCGCCCCGTGATGGGGAGGAAGGGGTGCAGATCAGGGTTCATTTGGGGGAGCGGGAGAAAGAAGAACGTCGTGAGCAGGGGCGGTGCTAGGTACCGAAAAGATCCGGGACTCAGGCCCACAGGACCAAAAAGATTAAAGAGCACACACTCGCTTATGCTAATTTGCATTTGCTCTAAAGTCTGTGGCTTTAAAGGACCCTGGCTCCTTCTTTGTAAAAAGGGCTGCATGGGCAGGGGAGCGGGAGGCATTTGATTTCAGCAATAAAACTCAGAAAAAGGATTCAGGGGTCGGGGAGAAGCACACGGTGATGAAAATCAGCTAATGCGGGGGGATCAGACGCAACGGAGATAATCGGGGCTCCTGTACCTTTCTTTCAGCAAGTGCCTGTGGATAGGAGGGTGGGACAGGAGGCCTTCCGGAGATTCGGGGCTCCAATTGAAGGATTTGGGGCTCCAGTCGTAGCGAGCCGATTCTTAACATCGCCTCTGGCCTGATTGAATCTCTGCGGGACCGCCCTTTTGCTGCAGGGGGTGGGTGGGATTGCAACAAGGGTAAGGATTAAGCAGACTTGGGGGTGGGGAGAAGAAGCGATGCTAACAACAGAGACCTTTTTAGATTTTTTTTAACGTCTGTAACTAATTCGAATTTGCCTCTTGTAATCCGACGATGGAGCATTTTCGAACGTGTCTCTAGGACAATCGGACTTGGGGGGTTAAAGGCCCTACTGGAGTTGCAGTTTAGGAATAGGAGTTGTATAAACCTGTTGAAGAGGACTATGGAGACAATTTGCAATAATCCTTCTTCATGGTCGTTCCTTTTAACTGTGGTATGTTTAGGATGATGCAGAGGATCATACCCCTTTCTTGTGGCTTCCTTGATGTTTCAGTACTAAAAAGCTCATCAGACTAGTAACGATGTAATATCTTATCTCAGTTTTCTCCCGTGTTGTTTAGTCTTCATATTATTTCTTCCAGAAATACCTCTGATTTTTTAATGGTAAAAAAACTTGTCCTTGGAACTTTTAAAAAAGCCTCAATGGGAGTTATTTAATCAATAAAGTGAAATGAAGTATCAAAACAATATTACATATTACCGAATTTTTAAAACCACACTTTTTATACTGCTGTACATTTAATTCTTTGTGTCTGTCATTAAGGGGACAATTCTATAGGACTGCTTAGAAAGAAAAAGCCCTACAACTCCCAGAATCCCTTGGCCAGCCACTGTACTCTTTAAAGGGCTGCAGGACTCTTGGCTGATGTTATGAATTTCTTTTGCATAAAGTAAAAACTTAACATATCAATTCAAAGCTCTTAATTAAAATGATGAGCAGCATAACATAAAGAAGATATATGGTTGAATGCTGTTATTAAACATATTCCAAAAATTAATACACATTTTCCACCTTTTAGAAAAATCTGACTAGTTTGTGTGAGCCGATCATGTGAAATATATCCATTTAGTTCATGGATGAGCAGAATGTAGCTTAGGATCTGTGAGTGGTCTGGAGGCAATCAGCAAGGATTTCCAACTCCAAATAGTGTAACAGTATCAAGGAAAATTACAAGAAAAAAGAAAAATTATGCCAATGCTAACCACCTAGAAAGCTTCAGCTGTGGGCTGGAATAGAAATGAAAATAATGATAATTGTGCTAATTGGTAGAAGTTGTAGAACTTTTTTCTATCTGAACAGGTATAGGCTGGTACCATATTGATAAAGGCATAAAATACAGAAAGCTATATACAAGTGCAATTTTTATAATTCATCAATACATAAAATGTTTGTGATACTTTACACCACAAAGAATAATCTACTTTATAGATTAAATAACCCACTTTGAGCTTTTTTAAAGGTCCAAGGCAAAGTTTCTTACATGTTCTTTTTAAAACTCATGGAATAAATAGTAAGAAGACTAGATAACAAAGCAGAAAATTGAAATAAGATATTACTCAACTTTGCCTGTTTGGATGCATTTTTGGATGTTGAAAGATTAAGTGATCTACAAGAAAGGGGTAGAACCCTTTGTATCCTCACTAACTGGAAATGTGAGGATTTGCAGAACTTTTCTGACTTGACATAGGATTATTGTACCCTAAACTTTTTTTTGTTTTTTGAAAAAGGAGGGACAACCTCAAGATGCTATTCTGAAGTACTTGAGTTAACTTTTGGCAAAAAGTTAGCAGATGCAACCAACATGTTATATTAGTGATGTATGGATGTAAAAGTGTAAACTGGTGGTGGTTAAAACAAATAATGCAGTGTTATGCCTTGTGATTACTGCAGTCCTAAAACCTTTACTGGAAGGAAATGCCATCAAACTCACTGGAACTTTTGTGCGCACATCTATGGGATTGCCCTAGGTAGCTTAGAAGATCACTGTTGGTAGCATTGGGCATTTTCAAAAATTATCTTCTTAGCTGTGTTTCAAGGCTGAGGTCTTCCGAAGACAGCTTCTTATGCTATAAAAGCAGCATAATTTTGGAAAATGATAAAAGCAGCTTAAATCAAATCAGTTTAAAATGCTGAGTGAGGTGATGGATTTTGGTGACAAACTACTAGTTCATTTATTATCCCAGTGAGATAACTTTGAAGGCCCGTTGCATCCAAAGCAATGTACTTTATTGTAGCATAAACTTTTGCAGTTTAGGGGTCACTGTTTCAGATAAAATTTCTGTCATGTGAACTGTAATCCACCAAAGCTAATGCCACAATATATCTGTACTTTAAAGCAGTAGTAATCTTAAAGGTGTCACAAGACTCTTGGTTGGTTTTGAGCCATTATATTTCTCTAGTGTTGAACATGGGGCACTATTTGAATTTTCTGCCTCAGTTGCCAAAATGTTTAATCCGGTCCTCCTGAACAGCAGGAGGCTTCTGTTCAGAGGAGCAGGGGAGAAGGTTCGAACCTTTTTGCAAAGCAAGTGTTGGAATTTCTGGTAAGCTTCCCTCCCTGCTTTTCCATTTTGTTAGGGTGTATGTGTGCGTTTTAACCAAAACCTTGGAAGTGAAGTACTTAAACAGACTGTCTAAACAGTGGCAGGTCACACCCTGTGTATAGTATTTGCTTGTCTGACTACCAATAGCTGATTGTGCAAGAATTGCCAAACCGAGTAAGGACTACACTTTGCAAATAAACTTGCCTTGAACAGTTGGGTTGGGTGGTGGGGAGGGCAGAGTTCTCCAGCCACTAAGTTTTCTATTTTTCCATTGACCTTTTGGTAGTCTTCATGCCTTTTGCACTCATCAAGTCAAAATTGGCAAGGTACTGACTCTGCTGGTAGAAGGAGAAATTAAGTGTACTGGGGGTTAGAATCAGTCCATTAGGTGCAGCAGGACGTTCTTGGGCATTTAAAAAGTGTTACCTTTAATGTCTTGCCTTTCTTCCTCTGAGAAAACCATGATCTTCCTCTTCTCCATATTGTTCTCACAATGACCCTGTGAAGTAGTTTAGCATGGGAGTCAAAATCACCTGAGGAGCTCTATGGCTGCGTCTGGACTAGAACCTGGATCTCCAGAATCTCGGTGCAGCAGCCTTAACTACTAAACTACACCATCTCTCGGTGTATCTATTCCATCCTTCCTCCAAGGACCTGAGGATGGTGTGAGGTCTCTTCGTTCCTTTTCCTGTCTACTCATCCTCTGCCTTGCTGGGTCAGGGTGGCCTCCAGACGTTCTGCACTACACTTCCCACAGGCTTCAGGTAACATGGACATTGGTCAGGAATTGTGACTGGAACATCTGGTGGGCCCAGCATGCCTGTCCCTAAACAAGGCCTCCATCTGTTTTGGACTGGAAATTCCAGACGCTTCAGCTGCCATAGACAGTGGTTAGACATGACGGAAGTTGTAGTCCAAAGCGTTGGGAGGGGACCAAGTTGGGGAAGGCTGCCCCTATAGAAAGAGCAAGCGAGTTGGAGTCCCAGCTTGGCTGAGCTGGGATTCCCACCCAAGGCTCCCCAGTCTTAAGTGCAGCCTCCCACTCACACTACCCAGCATCGGATCCCTTGGTGCAGCAGATCAAGGGCTGAGCTTGGGCAGGGGAGATGGGTGCTCAGCGCTCTGCTGACGGACTGGGCAGGCTTGCACAGTGGAGCTGGGCTCAGCATGCCAGCTGTGTAAGGCACTCTGCCGATGCAGAGATGCAGCCAAGCCTCCAGATTCTGCCGTCCTGGGCAAAGTCAGTCTGTCCAAAAGGGCCAAGCAGGCTACAGTATATGGCCGATGGGGCTATTTCTGGCTTTATGGGGTGTGTGGGGAGGAGAATCACAATCTGAGCTAGCCTTGGACATGACCCAGAGGCTGAAATGGGCCATGCAGTAGCATCAATTAAAAAAACCCCTGCTTCTTGATTAAGTGACCTCTGAAATTTGGGAAACTAAATCAGCAGTGACCCTAAACCAGGGGTGAGCAAAGTGTGGGTCTCTGGCTGTTGTGGGGCTGCAGTTGTTGGCTGTGCTGATTAGGACTAATTGGAATTGCCATCCCACAACATCTGGAGGACTTCATATCTTCCTCACCCCCTGCTGTACTGCTTCTTTGTGAGTTGAATAAGAACTCCAGGAATCAGGCAACAGTCACAGTGAAGAGATTCTGCCATTGATGGAGTCACCGCAAGGCCGCCTTTGGAAGAGACTTACTTTTGTGAAAATGCCATGATTTTGAGGCCTTCTTCCATCTCCACTCCTGGAACCACTGTCTCTGGGGTTTCTGGATGGAGAAAGTAGGCACTGATGCTAAATTAGTGTAAACCTATAGTGTAAATACCTTCAAAGAGCCGCGAAGTCAGCTCTGTATTGAATTTGGCAGCCATGGAAACAGAAGCCTATGAGAGGTTGCTGTTTCATAAGCACTTCAGCCAGGAGCTTCCTAAGCACTTCAGCTACTGTTTTTATAATGCAAACGTTTTTTGTGTGTCCTTCCATTCTCAAGTTCGGCAGGTAGCATTGCCTGGTGCTGCTGCTTCCCCCATCTTGCCAAAGCACCCCCTCGGCCTCCCTCAGATTTGTGCAGATCTGATGTAGCTGTAACGATGCTGTCGCCCCATTTCAGTGCCGCAGCCGAGGTGCTCTGTGCTCTTGCACCCCCTGATTAAATAGCTTTCTCTTCCCTGGTGCAGGTGTAACAGCACTGCCTGCATTATTACCCCAGGGGTTGCCTTTATCTAGGAAGAGCCCGTGTGCTGCTCGCTGTGGGCTTGGCACTTCTGCTTTCAGCTGATCCAGGAACCTGAGTTATTGTGAAGTCCGGATCTGGAAACTCTGGGTTGTGAGGGGTTAAACAACCTAGATGTAACCCAGTAACAGACCATCAGCTAACTCTGGGTTGTTTAGCTCACAAATTAATCAAAAGTAGAAATGGCTATTCATCAAAAGTGGAAATGGTCATTTATTAAAAGTGGAAAGTATTTACTCACAGCTAATTCATTCTGCTCGTCCTCAGGAATTCCTGGGTTAAGCAACCCAGGAGCTGACTCTGTGATGCGCAAATAAGATCATAGTTTCTGGGTTTGGGGGCCATGAGAACCCAGGAACAGAACAAGGGATGTTAAGTGAAATAAAAGTGACAAGCCCATGGGAGGCAGCTCACTTGCTCACAGTTTGAATGATCACTGTATGTCAACAAGGCCACTGTGTACCTGTTAAATGAAATAGCATTGGATGCAGTGACTGCATAAGCGTAAGAAGGGGAGCTAGGCTGATGGCATCTAAAGAAAGGCATGCGTTGGTGCTCACGTCCCCCTCATTGGATGACAACTAACACTTTGCCCTTGGTGAGGGGATCCCACAGACTTGCCCGCTGTTGCAAACTCATGGCACAATCCCATTTACTGTGCCCTGACAGCTCAGAAGCCCCCATGGGCAGGGGCTTCCAAGGTTCCAGTGGCTTCCTGTATTTTGGGAGAGGAAAGGACTGTTTTCACACTTTGGGAGGGAGCAGGGTGGAGGCTCAGGATAACTCCTATTCTGGCCTCCTCTCCAGTCTTCTGTGCTCTCTGCCCACTGAGGTTCCCCCCTTTCCACTGAGGCTGCTTTCCCCGTCTTGGAGGAGCAGCCAGCACTCTTCCTTCTTGCAGGCAGAGGCAGAGGGGCTGGGCCTGGCTCTTGGACTCCCTCTTCTGACCTTGGAGCACAGTGTCTGGCCGTGGTTGTGTTTACCAGGCCCATCCTATGTTCCTTGGGACACTAGTCCAGGGACCATAGGATCACCCTTTCCAAAAAGAGAAATCCTGGGGGTTGGAGGGGGGATAGGAAAAGGGGGGGGGTTGGGTAATGATTTTTTTCCCCTTTATTTTCCTGAAGACTTCTTCAAACATCTATTGGAAAAATGGAAATTTGGGGAATCATTGGAAAAAAACACTCCTATGAAATATTTCTTTAGGAACGAGTGAAATGCATTTTAAGCTTTTTACTCCCTCAAAATGTGTCATATTGTTTTAATGTTAGATGAAGCATAGCTTATGCAGCATTAGAGAAGAAAATGTACTGTATAGTATATGAACACAGTTAGGACGTGGCACTGGATCCATTTCTGCACCCAGCCCAGGCACAACAGACTCTAACTCTTTCTAGTAGTGGTGGTGTTCACAATTCTGCTTGTAAAAATGAAGGCATTTGTACTATGCTCACTTAATATAAGCAAGCCTGGGTCTTCCCTGAGTAAACATGCATAAGATCATTCAGTAAATGTGGTAAGTGTGCCAATTATCACAAGCTCATATGCTAAGTTCTGAGTGATGCATTTATGTGGTTAAAGCAGTAAAATAAGTTTAGGTTTGATGGGCAAATAAGCGTTGCATATGTTTCCATTTCCCCCAGAATACCTGTTTTCCTCTCCAGTGGGAAATTGTGTATGAACGTACATGTGTGCACGCATGCATGTTTCTCATCGTTTCAACATTTCTGGACATTTTGCATCCCTCATTTGGCTTGCTCTTTGCTGGAGTACTGGCAGCTATTAGGAGGAAAAACGTGTGTTGCATGTTTAAACTGTTACGTGGTTTTTGAAAACCCATGTACATACCTTGTCATTAGGCTATTGTGGAAGTGCCTGACTATTTTGGAACTTGTATGGGCCAGTGGAAACACACAGCTCTGTACATGCTTGACACTTTAGTGAGCTGAATCACATCTAAGAATGTCTGGGGAAGATATTTAAACCTTAGCCTTCCTGTATACACTAAATACAGTGGACAGGCCTTTAATTATGGGGTCATATCTAATGCGGTCCATCTGGTGGTGTCCTCACACACCCAGAGGAGGTGTTGTGGAAGCAGAGCAGGGCTAAGGCCCACTACATAGGCAGAAGCCCGCTTGCATTGCATTGGATGAAGGCTCCAGTTCTTCCTCTTCTCCATTAGCCTGCTGTTTGTCAATACAATCAGAAGAGAGAGAGGCTGTTTCTTTGCCCGTTAGTGTTCTAAGTTAGGCTAAAATTAAATTTTGTGCCTTGAGAACAAGTTGAGTTCACTGAATAGCTACATGAAATGTTGTCCCATACTTAATGTAGCATTTCCAGAACAAAACTTGTTTCTACACAGCAGTGGAGGGCACATGTGGTTTAGGCCCGAGAGCTATATCAGGTGTTGCCAGTATATGTTCAAATTTATCTCCTAGTCATGGGGGCTAGAACATTGTCTTACATTGCTGTGAATAAAGCTGGAATTCTAACCTCAACCTACAATAAAGAGCTTCAGCACATGTCTCCCTTTTTCTCCCAGCTCAGCAGTACAGAGAGTTCATAGCTCTTGTAAAGGGAAAAAGGGCAGAGGTAGGTTTGTGCGATCTGTTTTGTTTTTCAGTTCATCTCCCAGAGCCAGCACCAAACTAGCATCTGGGAAGGATACAGCATACACTTGTAATACAGTCCTATGGAAGTTTATTTAGAAGTCGGTCCTCAATAAGCATGTTTATTTCAGCCCTAGAAATACGAGTCAAGCGTGCCACTGAGCATATGCTTACCCAGGAATTTGTTTTCAGTACCAAAGCTTAGCTTGCAATCCTGTTACATGCAAATCCACTTGTGCTTTGCCCCTAAAGCTTCCTGTTAATTATTTTCCATTTCAGCAACCTACTTTTTAATGGCGGCAAAGGGTTTTATTTGTTGCGCTTCAATAAAGAACGGGCTTAACAATCTTTGTCAATCTGCAGCAAATAATTTAGAGAGCTGCCAATCTTCCTTTTGCCCATTCCTGCTCTTGAGGATCTTTACTCAGCTACAAATACCCTGTGAGAAATTCAAGATCCATCCTAACCCTAAGTCAAGCTGTTTGGGAAAGATGGAAGTTGTAGTCAAGCATGTCTGGGGGGGCATTGGGGTGGGGAGGGCTTGCTCTTGAGTAGCACACACCAGTAGAAGGACAGGCATTGAATGGATCTGATTTTTGTCAGTAGGTGCTGGTGAGCCTCTGAGAAGACCCTTCTGCCATGGAGCCGTGGGTGTACCTGGACCACCGCCAGAGGGCCCTGTATCGGGATGTCATGCAAGAGAGCTACGAGACTTTGATGTCTCTCGGTAAGGGTGGCTCCCCGCTTTCCTTCCACTCTTGCAGCTATTCAGCTTCCTTGGTTTCGGCTTATCCGTGCTGGCACAGCTCCATCTCTCCTGTGCAACCCAGCAGCAGCTGCTGTTCTGGGAGGCAGCAGCGTCTCCCATGGCATCCACGAAAAGGAACGAAGACCTGGTGGGGCCTTCCAGGGAAAGCGCTGAGAGCGCCACGCGGGAGCCTGCATGGCTCATTGGCCTGAACACTGGACCAGGGTGACAGCGCCAATCCTCACTGAGCGCCCTGGGCCAGTCACTGTTTTCTTGGCTTCACTGACCGTGCAGGGACATGGTGGATATAAAAGGGACTGGGGTAGAGCTGCTTGGAGTTAAGTGTCTTAAGAGCATTGACAGGGACATCTTACTTTCTCAGGCGCCACAGTAGTTAAGACCTTGCTAGAAGAAAAGAACACGCAAGTGTGTGCTGTGTGTGCACACACACTTCGGTCCCTATGAGCTGGCGGTCGGCTGCTCTGGCAACGGCAAGCCTTGAATAAGCACTTCAGATACTGAGGTGCTGGTGTCAGATTTCTAGGCCCCTGGAGGCCCCTGCCTGGAATTCTTCCAGCAGAAGCTGTTTTCCACACACTGGGTATTATGCACAGCATTCCATGCTGGGATGCACATTCCAAGAAGGATGCAATCCAGGCCCCTCTCAGACTCCTTGAGCAGACTGCATGTGTTCGCATTCATGTTGGCTTGGCTTGCTTGGAGGCAGTGGGATGCTCAGAGTGTCTGAGAATTCTCAGCTTCTCGGCTCCCGGGGAGCTGGGAAACCCAGCTGGCGCATAGTCAGGTTTCCCTCCCTTTCTGGCGTGGTATCTGGTGGCAGACTGGAGGTGCTGCCTTTCAGTGTGGGGAAGCTGATTTGTGTGGAGGAGCAAACAGAGGCTGGCCTCCAGGGGGCTCCCAAAGCACATTGGCTGGTCCCGTGGAATGATAGCATCTTGAACGAGGCAGCAGCAACTCTGCTTAATACGTGAGTGAGCGCAAGAGTGCAAGTGTGGAAGGTCAGGAACAAAATACAGAAAACCCGGCCTGTTGCTCATATTGCCCATAACTGGGCCTTAGAAGAAGCATTCCAACCATTTAGAATTGGGGGTGGGATGCTGGGAAATTGCCAGATCAGTATTTGGGGGGAAGAAGGTGGGGCTGAGGGAAAGGGGAATGCACAAGGGTTGGATCTGGTCTCCAGGTTCTGCATCCCTGCTGTAGCTCTGAGGCAGCCAATACCACAGATAATGCCCCCCCAAGAATAGGGGGTGGGGTGGGGATTGGCCCATTTCACAGAGCTGGGGTGATACCTTCAGCTGGCATCCTGACACCCCGAGGGCTTTCCTGCTGGCTCCCATCCCCTTGCTCACCAACACTTTCCCCAAAGCTCAGGGTGTGCCAGAGCTGAGTGCAGGAAGACTCAGGCTTCCTGCAGAGCGAGACACTGGGCGTGCCAAATGATCTCATCTGCAGCAGGAACAGAGACAGAAGCTGTGAAAAAGCATGTGCGTGCACGTGTGCAGACACACAAAGAGTTACTTGGGGTTCCCCCCCATAAACTGCAGGGACTTGAGAGGCAACGGTGTTTGGGTGGGTGGGGTAGGAGAGCTTTTATTTTAGTGATTCGCAGGCATCTGTATTAACCTTTTAGTGGAAAGGGGGTTGATTATGAGTGGTCCATATGTCTTCATCTCCAGTTCTCAGCCCCATCCGTTCCTTAACCAGTCAAGTAAATATGGGAGTGAAAAGTATCCTTCACAGGGCCTGTGATCAGGCGACATTGGCTAAGATTTTCCTACTTCAAGGATCTGGCGTCTGTTGCAGCATCGTCTGGGTATCAGTGCTGGAAAGAGTTGGAGGATCTTGACTGTTAGGCATTGAGCTGCTATCTGCCAGGAACATACTGGAGCAGGATGGGCCAAAGTTCTTGAAAGCATGGATGTGCAGGAGGTTTGACCTTGGTTCCCCATGGCCCCAAGCTGGCTGCCTTTCTTCCTTCCCCCCACATTATAAGAACCAAGACAGATCTCAGGACTGTGATTGCTCATGGCAGTTACAGAGTTATTATGCCACTGAAATCACAGGGAGTTACTTCCAACAGATCATGGATAGGGCTGTCAGTTTCTCATCGCCTAAACATTTAATCCCATTCTGTACATACTTTCTCAGGAATTAGTCCAGCTTTACATGCATATTTCCTCAGGTGAATTTGTAATAAATAAATTGCTATTTTATGGGGTTCATTTTATGAGTAATACTGCATGTGATTGCAACCTCTAGTAATTTGCAGCAAGGTTGGCATAAGTGCAAACCAGGTGCCTTGTGTGGAGCAGACAGAGCCTGTCTTTTAACCTGTTTGCACAGACTGAAACTGATCCAGATGCCTAGAGCTGGAAAAGGATGTGCGGAAAGCCCCTTGGATTGTCTGCCTGCTTTTCTGAAGGCAGGGCCACCCATCAAGCAATCTGTGCACCCAACCCCAAAGCAGAGAGAGGGTGCACCACAGAAAGGGGGGCTGTGGAACACTTCGCTCTAGGTAACTTGTGTAAGTAAGCCAAGCTACACACTACAAGAAAGGAAAGAATGGGGAGTTTGATTGGATTTGCACTTCAGATGTGCTTATCTTTACTTGGAAGTAAGGCCAAGTTGTAGATACATTTCAGCCAGCAGCTTTACTTTGAAACCTGGCTAGCCAAGATACAGAGTTGAACTTCAATACTGCCCTTTTAACCATTTGGAGAGTGTATGTGACAGGGTGATTTTAAAAAGTCAGATATTCCTGAAGGTATGCATGGGGGGACTTTAGCTTCACTTACATCCATCTGTCCTTTCAAGCAACTCCAGAAAAGGCATTGGGTTGCCAACTGGCACGCTTTTGAGCTTCTCCCTTGCAAGCGCAGCACAGTGCTCCTCTCCTTGGTGGCATCAAGTGCTGGCCTCCCCCACCCACGTTGGGTATGCAGTGGAGGCAAATGGATGATAAGAGTAGGGAAAGTGTCAGTTGGGGAAGCTGAATCAAATGGGGAAAGAACTGAATTTCTGCCCCACCTTCCACTGCTGTTCACCCTTTACCCTTCCAAGCAGCTTACAAAGCAGTTAGCAAAGCAACAAGATAATAAAGTGTCACCTTATTGCAACAAGAAACAGAGCAAGATCAGCATTTTAAATAACAGCAACTGGTAAACCTTTGCTAAAACACAGCCCGTGAGCATTTGGAAACCAGGCTGGAGACATGAAAAGGCTTTAGGGATCGTCTCAAAGCCAGCACAGAGGATCCTGCCTCAGAAAAGGGGATGTTTGAATAACTGGGACAAATCCCAGTCTGGGCTCACCACTCATTCCAAGGCGTTCGAGAAAGTGAGACTTGGGTTCTTGTTGTGCAGTCTGTGAGGCCTTGGCTGCAGGATAGCTGTGGCCAGTGCTGGGGCTTCAAAATGCACCAACTACAGAGCTGGCCATGGGCGGGCGCTTACCAGCGAGGCCCCGGGGCAAGCAAGTGCTTCCCAGACTTGCCTCCCTTCCTTACCCCTCCCAGCAGGCTGCTTGTTCACCTCCCTCTGCCTGTGGTCCAGGTAACTGAGGGGGAGGAGAAGCCCTGGAGGCACCTGCCGCCCTGGCCTGGGGCTCCTGCCCTCTCAAGCCAAGGATAGTGCTGCTTGCAAGGAAGAGGAGGCCCTGCTAAAGAGCCGGCAGCAATGGCCCCATCACCATCACTGAGGAAGGCAGCCTTGTTGTTCCCCGGGGCCTTCCAAAGCCAGAGTGAGCATTCATAAGGGGCATTCCTTTGAGCCCTAAAAAAACAAAGTTGTTTCTGCCCTTTCAACACTTATCACACAACATGTTCAGTTTGTTAACATGTCAGCGTAATTTCTGTAACTTCAAACATGAAACGCTTCATACTCTGGCAGAAAACTAAGAGTAGGACTTATTTTAAAATCAATCAGAGATGCAAAAGCAATCTTTAAACTAGGGCAGCAAAGGCTTGGGCTAGAAGCTGGCTCCTAATGCAGCTCAGGACATTTCTACATAGAGGAAGACCTATTGAATTCCGTGGGGTTTGCTCTCAACCAAGCAGGTATAGGGTTACAACCTTAAACAACCTTAAACACCTAGCTAAAGAGACACCTCCACTATTAAAGTTTAGATTATAAATCAAGAAGACAAGGCAAAGCTGCTCTTTCTGTTCAGTGGCATGCATATCAAGCTATACATTCTGTATGTGCTGTACATATCTAAGAGCACCCTGTTTTCTTGGGTATAAGCTTGGGGTTGCAGTGCCTTTTAACCTTTGCTGCCCTTCAGGGTGCTTGCACCTGGAGCCAATTAGACTGGCCAATTAGACTTTCTACAACAGCAGTATGAAATCAGGCCCCTTATTTAACTTTACAGCTTCATAAACCATCTAGATTTTCTTTCCAACAACAATGTTTTGTACTATCTTAGATTTTTCAGGAACTAGAAAGAATATTTTTTCCCCTGACCAGAGCTTTAAAATACCATGTTCTGTCAGTGCACCTTAAAAATGTACATTTGCCCATAACATCTTCCTACCCTTCCCTATTTGGTAGGGCAGGTAGCTTGGAAGTCCTGGGGAGGTTCCTTCCACCCATATCGGAATTTTTGAACCTTCCCACTTCCTCTAAGAGTGGGGAGGGGGAGGGCAGCAGATCTGGGGGTTGGTGGGTTTGGTTTTTTTTCTGGAAACAAGGCAAAGGGGTTAAGCCTCCCCTTTCCTGTGCTGGGGGGATGCTCCTTCAAAGCCCCACCCACCAGGCAAGTGGTCTGTCCAGCCAATAAATTGCCTTCATCCCTCCTGGAGAGGAAAAGGTAGAAACTCTGGCTACTTTAATGGAGGGAAGGGGAAGAGGAAGAGGGAGGGGGAGGAGAAGACGAGGAAGAGGAGGAAAAGCATGGACTGAGGATCCTGTTTTCAGCGTTCCCATCACCCGCGGTTAGTAGGATTTGTTAATGAATAAGTGAAAAGTGGGAGGCTGTGAAGGGTGGGATTTTGTTAGATGCTTTCTGAAAAGTGGCTGCTGTTAACGTTTGCTTTCCATGCATTGTTATTCCTCTTTTCAATATCAGCCTTTTCCAACTGGGTGCCCTCCTGATGTCCTGGAGTGCAACCCCCAGCATCCCCAGCCAGGGGGCTGTTGCCCCACACATCAGTAGGGCCTCAGGCCTAACAAGGCTGCAACACCCCAGTGTTTGCTAATCTGTCTCCCCTTCTTTCCTTCCCTTCCTCCTCCTCCTCATTTGCAGCCCCACTTCCCACTTGCTAAGGATCTGTTCGAGCCCCTGTATAGTTGCTGCTTTCTCCATCCCCACCCAGTCCCCTGCCCACCCTCCTTCCTGAGCCCTGCAGCTCTTGCTGGGCCCTCTGCTAGCAACCCGGGCGCTTGGCCTGCTTGGGGTTTGTGTTTGGGGGTTTTGGTCTGGCCTGCATGTTTGCTCCGTGAAGAGAGCAGGATGGAGATTTTGCTTGTAGTCCATGGATGAAGGAGAAATTCTGCGCATGTTTTCAAGATGGCCCACTCTCTGTAGAGTTGGGGCATGTGAGGGGTTTGGGGGGCATTTAGATGTGGTGGAACTGTGGGCACTGGTGCTGGGGTGGGGGAAACACTGATCTCTGCTGGAATTAGGAGGTCTGTATATATGCTCAGCATTGTAATTTATACACTCATGAGTTTTCATTCAGTCTTGGCACACTCCCCCCTTCACACAATTGTTAATAACAAGCCTAAAATCAGTAGGTGATGTACAGAAATTTAAAAATAGTCTTGCAGTTTCTCATGGGTTTAAGGCAGGGCATGGTAAGGAAATAAAGAAGAGCAAACGAGGGTTCCTTTTTGTATATTTTTTTCTGTCCTGGGTTTTTGATGTTAAGCATATAACCTATATTGTCCTACAGAAATATTAATTAAAATGTGTACAGAAAAAGCAATATAATACAGTTTTTTAAATGTTTCCATTAAAATTTTTTAAACTGCAGCAGTTCAAACCTGCTAGCAGTTGAGACATTAAAATTGAAAAAAGCAGATTGTTTTTTATTTATTCATTTATTTAAACCTTTTATATGCTGTCCAACTACTAAAGTCTCAGGATGGTCTTACAATTAAAAACAGAGTAACATAAAATGAAGCAAGCATCTGAATTATTCCAATCAAACCCACATTAAAACCTATCATCCTTAAAATAATGGGAAAATAAAAAGGTTGCAGTTGTGTTTGTTTGAGGTTATGTTTATGCTTATTTTTACTTGTACTGTGCTGGTTGTGGTTTGTTTGGATTTAGGTGTCCATTTCCTGTTATATTAACTTATGGACTTCTGTATTTGTGTATCACTTTGAGATTACTTTTTGTACTGAGAAACAACTCATAAATAGTAATGGTTATGAAGAAGATTATGTTAGCTTAGAAACAGGATGAAGAAAATAGTTTTTCTAAGATTTTTGTGTATGCCTGTCTTTCTCAGCTGCTGATAAACTGCTGAATAGCAATAACAATGAGGAGGAGGAGGAGGAAGATGATGAAGAAGAGGACGATGAAGGCCCCGAGGAGTTGCGTCCTGGGACATCTCAAAGCACCCACAGGCGGATCATGCCCTTGGTACACCGGGCTGCTCCTGAGCCACCGAAAATCGCGCCGGTGGTTAAGAAGGACAAAGCCACCCAGCGTGGCCACGCACTGAAGAAAAGTCTGGAGAGCCGCTGCTCGGATTGTACGCGGATCCTGCACACCACCGGCAGGGGCCGCCAGCGGAGCGAGGCCAACGCCGCGCGGGAAAAGCCCTTCCAGTGCTCCGACTGCGGCAAGTGCTTCATCTGGAGTTCGCACCTGGAGCGCCACCGGCGCATGCACACGGGGGAGAAGCCCTTCAAGTGCCTCAACTGCGGGGAGGCCTACAGCCAGAACTTCCACCTCCTGCAGCACCGCTGCTCCCAGCTGCTCGAGAAGCCCTTCAAGTGCGCCGAATGCGGGAAGCGCTTTGCCCAGAGCTCCGCCCTGGAGAACCACCAGAAGGGGCACACGGCCGTGAAACGCCACAAGTGCGTCGACTGCGAGAAGTGCTTCATCTGGGCGTCCCACCTGGAGCGGCACCGGCGGGTCCACACCGGGGAGCGGCCCTTCAAGTGCCCCGAGTGCGGGGAGACCTACAGCCAGAGCGCGCACCTGGCCAAGCACCGGCGCAACCACATGGGCGAGCGGCCCTACAACTGCCCGGCCTGCTGGAGGAGCTTTGCGCAGATCGCCGAGCTGGAGGAGCACAAGAAGACCCACCTGGGCTGCGAGGACTGCGGGAAGGTCTTCCGGAGCCGGCAGACGCTGATGCGGCACCAGCGGGGGCACCGCCGCGAGCGCACCCACCTCTGCGAGGAGTGCGGGAAGGGCTTCGTGTGGGCCTCGCACCTGGAGCGCCACCGCCGGGTGCACACGGGCGAGCGCCCCTTCCCCTGCCCCACCTGCGGGGAGAAGTTTGCCCAGAAGGTGCATCTGCTCCAGCACAACAAGACGCACTCTCACACGCGGCCCTACAAGTGCGGGGACTGTGACAAGCGCTTCGGGGACAGTTCGGCGTTCCTGGCCCACCAGCGGGGCCACGCCATGGAGAAGAACCACAAGTGCCAGTACTGCGGCAAGAGCTTTGCCTGGAGCTCCCACCTCGAGAGGCATCAGAGGATCCACACGGGCGAGAAGCCCTACAAATGCCCCGACTGCCCGGAGCACTTCAGCCAGACGTCCCAGCTCTTCAAGCATCAGCGCAGCCACCTGGGCAAGAGGCCCTACAAGTGCAGCGAGTGCGGCCGCAGCTTCGGCACCACCCTGGAAGTCATCATCCACCAGCGGACCCACTTTGGAACCAAGCCCTACCGCTGCTCCAACTGTGGGAAGGGGTTCACCCGCCGGGCCAACCTCCTGAAGCATCAGAGGTGCCACATGAAGGAGAGCCCGTAAGGAGTGTGCAGCTCGCCGGGCCGGAGGTGTGAGAGGGATCGTGCTTTTCTGCATTTGGCGATCTAGAAATCCACACGAGAGAAGCCCTTCTGTATGTTCTGATTATGGGGTAACTTCAGTGCTGATCTGAATCTTGCAGCGGCACCCAGTGATCTCTACTCAGTTGAGGAATTTTTCAGAAAATGCACAGTACAAATGAGAAGCTCATAGAAACGCAAGGACGGAGGGGTGTAGCTGATGCCGGGGTGAGGGTTTTGGGGGGGGTGGGGACAAGACCTGTTGAAGTTAAAAAAAAAAAAAAGCAACCATGTACACATTGGAAATAGATCCTGGTATGGAATCTATAAATTTGTTTGACACTGTACATATGCCCCAAACAAACTTTGGGAGAAAAAAGCTTTACTGACCATCTTTATGTTTATGCATCAGAAACCTTTCCTGGGATAGACTGAAATCCCTTCCACCCCACTTTATAATTTTGAACTCTGGACAACAAAGCTTTAACAAACGTCAAGGACTGACCTCCAAACCTTAAGCGTCCGGCTGAGGCAGACTTGGACTTGACTAGCAGCTAAAGAATTCACAGGGAGGTGAAAATGGAACTTTTGCAAGCCTCTTTAATGTGGAGGAAAAAGCTTTATTGACTTACCCAGTTCGACGAATCTCGGTGTCGCGGGCCCTGCGATAGCTCCCCTGTGCAGGGCTGGCCAGCTGCATTCAGCAAGCCGCGCGCGAGTACGGAGCATCCAGAGACTGTCTGAGGTCAGACTGCAGCATTGGCTAAATCACGCCACGTGATTTCATCCGCAGTTTCTACATGGATGAGAAACTCCATTTGGTTTCCCTGCGTTCTGGGAATCCCAGCAGTTCAGTTCTGCTTACCAAGTTGGTGGTGGGTAAAGGACTTCCTCCAAACTCAGAAATGCCTGGTGATTTCTTCACCGTGAACCCGAAGGAGCCAAGAGAATGGAGACGCTTGGCTCTTCTTTAGAAACTTGGGGAAGGAGCAGTGCTGGGCGTATGAGCCACAGTGGAGCTGCATGGTCCCGTTTCTGGTGCTCTTGCCCAGGGGTTCTTGGTAGTTCGGCTGCAGGCATTGATTTGTGCGTGTGTGCGTGTGGGTAGACCTGCTGCTTGAGGTGACAGTGGAGAAAGCTGCCTGAGTCTAGGGAAGTGATTGCCAAAGGTTGCGACATAGTGAGAGAGAGCAATCCAGATGAGGCTTCTGGAGGGACCCAGCTTTGGCAACAAGGAGCAAGCTTGCTGGTGTGCCACAAGGATGATGGGAGAGATTCAGAATCGGTGTTGGGCAGCGCCAGCCTCTGTTTTGGTGAGGGAGCGAGCGGCCCTCTTGCATCAGTCCTGCACCAACCTTCTTAAAAACTTTCAGATTTCCTAAATGGCTGGATCTCATTTCCAGCAGTCCAGACAACCTGCACTCCTGGGATTCTTCCTATCTTGGTAGAGGGTTTAACAAAGGAAAGGAAAACTGACAGTATACGCGCACGCATTTCTGCCCAGGGTTACGAAAGTTCAGGTCTTTTGTTGTGTTTACTGAGAGGGAGGCCTGAGGGGCAATGAGGCAGAGCTTGGGTCTCCACCAGGAAGAAGGCAGGTGAGAAATTGCTGCATGGGTGGAGGGGGGTACATTCTTGAAGGGCAGGGAAGGAAATGCCAGCCTACCCTGCATGGTTGACCCCCCGGGGTACACGACTGTAAGGCAGCACAGCTGGGAGAGGGAAGAAAGGCCTTGCTGAAGACTTGAAGCCCCTCCACAGTGGATTTGGAAGAACTTGCTCACGAGGAGAGGTGAGTTGGTACTCCCAGCTGAGGCTGTGAATGGTGGAATTGTCCCTATGCTTGGTGGGGTTGTGCAGATAGAATCTGCCCCCCTGTTCTGATGGGCTATGAAGGGGGCCCTGATTCCCCCAGTATGTGGGAGTGAGTGGGGCTAAGCGAGTGGAAGAAACACTGGGGGTGGGAGGGGGCTTTCTTTCCTTCTGTCACTAAGGTGGTGACCTTGCTGTTCCTTGGCTTACTGCTCTCCCAACACCTACCTCAGAATCCTGTGATGGCCTGAAATGTCTGGAATGGAAGGGAGAGACCTGGAGGCCAATCCCGACATGCTGCGTGCGCGGGGTCAAGGGCCACAGCACCTGCTTGGCATGGCTAGCAAATGCGCTGGCGCGGTCCCTGCGTCTAACACTGTATCCCGGCCTCTTGTCTTGCTGCCCTGCCCTGCCCTTCCCTGCCGGCTTCCCTCTGTTCTGCCTCTCAGCATCAGGTTTTTTACTTCATTACCTTGGGGATGTCTGTTCTCCACAAGGTCCCACAGTTGCTTCCCCCCCTTCCCTTTTTGTTTTGATTCCATGCAAGCAAGCATCTTTCTGTTTAGGGCCCCTTCCCTCCAACTGACTTGTAGAGGAAAAACCAAGTTTCTGAGCTCTGATTTCTTTGTTGTTGGTTAGGAGTAATAAAAGTAAGACAAAATGTACATCAGGTGAGTCTGGGTTTTTTTCCCTGATGCATGTGAGAACCCTGGGCCTGTTCACACAGAGCAGAGGGTGGAAACTCCACTCCAGACATTCATACCCCAACTCCTGGAATCCCTGGCTATTGGTTGGGGCTGATGGGAATTCTAGTCCAAAAGATCCAGAGAGCACGAAGTTGCTTTTGCTTGGTATAGCTCCAGCAAGGTGCACTGAAAGCACTTTACCCAAGAGAAACTCATTGCCTTGCAGGTCCTTTTAAGCTCCAGCTTCCTAGATCTCTGCCCATTGACCATATTGACTGGTGCTGAGGAGAGCCGAGGCCCGGTAACTTCTAGAAAAGTGTAGTCTTGCCACCCCTGGGCTGAAGTGTTGGCCTTGCATGAGCGGAGCACAAACCCCCACTGGATTGCAGTCCAAGTCCAGAGCGAGGCTGCGACAGCAGTCCCACCATGCTGGGGTCCCGGCATGGCTTCCAGGCGGTTAAGCCCAGGCGGTTAATGAATCCTTTTGCTTGACTAAGCTAAAGTCTTAGAAGGAATGCAGTGAGCTGGAACCATGGCAAGAGCTTTGTCCGATCAGGGTGGATAAAAACAGACTGGTTTTGTTTTATTTTGGTTCAGAAAAGCACCAAGGCAAAGGTGAGGAAATTTGCAGTCCCGCTGATGTTTTAGTCTGCAAGCCTCATTGGTGGTTTAGGCAACATAGCTACTGGTGATGGATAATGGGAGTTGTTGTCCTGCTCTGTACTGCAGCTTTTGTAATGCACGCACAGGGCAGGGTTACCATGCAGTGCTTAGATGGCTTCATTTTTCCTGCCCCCTTGCAGCCCCCAGAAGTGAAGCAGCTTGCAACTTTCTGACTGTGTGTGTGGGGGAAAGATCCACCCCACCACCCCTCCGCTGCATTTGCTGAGGAGAAGGGCCTGGGCTAGTGGGCTGAAGTTTGGGTGTAGAGGCGGCTTCTCCTTTGGGAGGGCGACTGGGAACGGGGCTCTTGGGGCATCTGTGACAACCTGCCGAAGCTCAGTTTGGGGCGGTGGGGAGAGGGCACCCCAGGCAAAACCCCACCATCTTCAGCAGGAATTCCTGCCCCAGAGTTGAGGCAGGACTCGCGGGGGTGGGAGACTGGCAACGGCTATTTGTCCCCTCCATCTTAGCTGGAGTTGTCACGCGAGGGAGGTGGGGGACGAATGAACCAGCGAGGATGTACAGAGCTTGGAGAGGCTTGCCTTGAATGGGCACCTGAGAGCCCTGGGGGGGGGGGAGGGGTGGCCAAGGGGTCCAGCTGGCTTCCTGGTATGGAGCCAGGCTTGCCTCCCCGTGCTGGACTCCCTGGGTGGGAGAAGCACCGGAGCTCCAGGGCTTGCTTCCCACCTCTGTCTCAGTCACCTGCTTCCTCCATCCCTTAATTTGCATGGCTGCTAGATGGAGACATCTGAATGTAATGCTCAGTGACCCCCAAACTACTATTGCAATCACACTGAATTCTGCAAAAGGCACGTGTCTCACACACACACACACACACACACGAATTTATTCTGCCTCCAAAAATGGAGATTTTTTGAAACACATCTTGGCAAGAGAAAGTAGGATAAAAGCTGGGGCAGGAAAGGCCACGGAGTGCATGGAAAAAGGAAGCAAAGGCTCAAGCAGGGAGGAGTATTGGGAGAAACCTTAACCGGGACTGTCTACACCTTGCACCTAAAAGAGAAACAGAGCAAACAAGCTGAGGCAAGCAAGTGGAGGCAGGAGGAGGAGAGCGAGCTCTTTTTCAAGGCCAGGACAAGACCCGGACCTCCAGGATCCACCAGGCACAACACCTGCAAAGCAGTGGCTGAGCCAGAGAGTCGGCTACTTATGGCACTTCATGAGACAGAGACTGAGCTGATCCCAGAATCATAGAATAGCAGAGTTGGAAGGGGCCAAGTGAGCCATCAGGTCCAACCCCCTGCTGCTGCAGGACACCACATTACACCATCCCACTCAGGTGGCTGTCCAGGTTCTTTCTGAATGTCTAGTGTGGGGGAGCCCACCACTTCTAGGCAGCTGGTCCCACTGTCATATTGCTCTGATAGTGGGAAGCTTTTCCTGATGTCCAGCCTGAATCTGGGTTGTCACAACTTGAACTGATTATTCCTTGTCCTACACTCTGCTATCAGCAAGAAGAGATCTTGACCTTCCTCTTTGTGATCTGCAGGTACAAGTACACACCTACATGTTTGAGTGGCTCCCAGTCACAAAACTCTGGAACTGCATCAGACTAGCACAGAGACCTGGTGCAGGATCGTCCTGCAAAGCCCACTTCTCACAACCTGCAGAGGAGGTGCCACTTTTGACCGCCCTGGGGAGATCGCATGCCTGATGGCTCTTCCCTTGCACCAAGGAAACTCAGTGTCAGAAAAGGCTAGGCTAAAACATGATGTCTAGTCTTTTCTGTGCAAGGCAATGAAATATCTTTGTATGTCAGTGCACATCTGAAGAGGCATAATCCAGACAAGGTTGCTAGCTCACCTGCTGTTTGTGAAAACTAGGCCTAAAATAATGGTTTATGTAGGCAAGGTCACAGTACTTACCAGCTTGCAAAAGGTTTACTAGCCTGTGGGGGGCTGACGGAAGCGGGGTGAGAATTTTGTTCCTCACGAGAGCAGCACACTGCATATTATGCTGGCTGCATTCTTCCATCAGCCCACTCCCTGGCCTGCAAGCAACTCCACCTTGCTTTTATAGTTAGGCAAGTTCTTAAATGAAAGACTGCTTTGACATTTATACACTCTATGATTTCACT